AAAAAAAAAACCAATACCTTATCCCTTTTTTCCGCTGTTTTCTCTCACCCATTTTCGAATTCATCGTTTTACTCACTCTCAGATTCTCTGTTTGTTCATCATGGGTTACTTTTGCTGAACAAAAGCTGCCATTTTTATTGGGTTTTTCTTGCTCTCTGCATCTCTAATTCGTTGCGTTTGATGTCTTTGGATATTGGGTCTGCTTCGAGTTCCAAAGCCATGGGATCTGATGAGAAAGATGAGGGGAAATCGATCTCTGGGCCGAACTCATTGGATTCTAAGGCTGAGGATAATGTTGTCGGGATCAGCCGGAAAATGAGCGAGAGCTCTATCTGCACAACCGAGGATGAAAATGATGACGACGATGATGTTGATCCCAAGATTCAGTTGGGCCCTCAAGTCACCCTCAAGGAATTGTCTGAGAAAGATAAGGTTTGTTGTTTCTTGATTTGTCTGAGAAAGATACATTTTTTTTTATTTTTTTTTTCTGCTTTTGTGGTTATTGCAGTGTCTGTTTATATTGGTTTGATTAGGATGATGAGAGTTTGAGAAGGTGGAAAGAACAGCTTCTTGGGAGTGTGGATATTAATGCTGTTGGAGGTAAATCAATCATCTTTCCCTTTCCATTTTTTAGGGGAAAAAAAAAGGGATTGATAATGCATTCTATCATTGGGTGATATGATATGATACATACCAAATTAGGTGAAGAGTTTAAACTTTTTTGTGATCTCCCTTGTTATCTGCTGAATTCTTTATGGGCTAGCTCGGATCCTTGTTAAAATCGAGCATTCGGATGAAATGTGGGGGTAAAGATAGTGTCCTTTGAGGTTCTCTTGTTTTCTTGAATCTTGAATTCAATGAACGGTGGCTCTTTTGACGTTAAACGTTGTTGCCGTGTATCGATTTTGTTGAGTTAATATTGTTTTTCAAAGATCCTTCATGGGTTGTGCTGACTTTTCTTGTTGTTTGCTTTTAGAATTCTGAGTTCTCGTAGCTACACGACGATTAAATCGTTTTTTACATTTGATTCATAAAACATTCTCGTTTAATTTCTAGCTTCTATTATCAAAACCACATTATTCTCATTTAACGAAACTTTTTTCACATTTCATCATTGTGCGAGTGTTTGCATATTAGTGTTAGTGCTAAGTGAGAGTATGGCTTTTGTTCGAGACCATTTGACTTAATTTTCTTCGATTTTTGTCTTGTTATAGAAAGTCTTGATCCTGAAGTGAAAATCTTGAGCCTTGCAATAAAGTCCCCGGGTAGGAGCGATATTGTCCTACAAATCCCTGAGGATGGGAACCCGAAAGGCACATGGTTTACTCTTAAAGAAGGAAGCCATTATAGCCTTAATTTTACCTTTACTGTCAAAAACAACATTGTATCTGGACTCAAATACAAGAACTCTGTCTGGAAAACCGGCATTAGAGGTTAATTATATATTCCCTTCTTTAACTTTTTTTTTTTGTTTTGGTCGAAAAATAACTGTGTTTGTGTGTATAATTGCAATATATCAACCGATTGAGAAGGATTTTTTTCTTATTTTTTTGTGTCAGTTGAAAATAGAAAGGAGATGATTGGAACCTTCAGTCCACAGGCAGACTCGTATATGCACGAGATGCCAGAGGAGACAACGCCATCTGGCATTTTTGCTCGAGGCTCGTATACTGCAAAAACAGAGGTTAATTCATTCAGCTAATAAATTTCCCTAATATGATTATATGTAATTGTCTATTTAAAACTAATCAGTAGCTCCGATATATGGAATTAGTAGCAACAGGTAGTTTCACTCAGTTTTTTTTTTTTCTGCAAACTCTTTTAGAGTAAATACTATGAAATTTACGCGGAGATTTGATTAATTCAGTGCAGTAAAAGATGCAAGCCAACTTATTAAGAAGTACAATGTAACCAAATTCCAAAGCATTTACAAAATCGGAAATTTCGATTTAGTTTTCTTTTTTTTTTTCCTCTGAAGGATGATGAAATGTACTGAGATATTGTTAACATTCGTCTCTTGTTTTCACGTGTTACAGTTCCTTGACGATGATAAGAAGTGCTACCTGGAGCTGAATTACACTTTCGATATCAGGAAAGACTGGCAGTCATCGTAAAACTCAGAATATGCGCGTATTTTTTTCTATATTTTTGTCCAAGATTGTACCTTTTTCAGTTTTTGAATCTCTCTCTCTCTCCTTTTTTTTTGGGTTTTCGGTCGAATTATTCCACTGTGATCTGACGAGTTGACATAGAACAAGCTAGGTAAGAGTGTCTTGCATGAGATTTGTCTCCAATAGAAGCTTCTCTCTCTCTCTCTCTCTCTCTCTCTCTCTCTATCTCTCTCTCTCTCTCTCTCTCTCTTTTTGTGTGTGTGTGTGTGTGTAACCAAGTTCTAGCTCAACTCATTTTTTTTTTAAAGCTCAAGCTGAGATATTTGTAGCTTCACTAGAAGTTGGGCTCATTTGATTTGCAGGACCTATGTGAAAGAGCAAACAATCTCACCTTTTTCTCCTCAATTACATTAATATAATTTAAATGTATAAACCAATACTAGTACATGTTTAAAAACAAATCAATCACCCACTTATATATATATATATATATATATACATATGTATATATATATACATATATATATATTTAAATATCAATGAATGTGTTACTGTTTTTATATCATATTAATATATCTAATCATTATATTTTTATTTTATATTATAATTCACAACCTACAAAATGTTGATTTCTTCCTCCAATTTTTGTAAAATAAATTCTATAGAAAATGTGGAAATTATAAATGTTGTCCAACAAAACTGCATCCTTTTATTTAGATAGAAAATGAATAAACATTTAAAAAAATGTTTTTGAAACAAGTGAAAGAAATTTAAATTGTGAGAGATAAAATTAATTTATGTAAAAATAATAAAATATTAAATGATATAATATATTATTTTTAATAAATATATATCTTTTGTTGGAAAATATATACTAATGATTCTTTTTTTTTTTAATTTTATTCATGAGATTTGTGGAGGGAAGATGAAATGAAATGAATATAATTTTTTAATTTTTTTTAATTCCATTATCAGTTTGATTGAAATAAATCTTAATTGAAACAATTATGTATCAATTCCAACCTCAATTTTCAATTTCCAGACAAAAATTACTGTAGGTGGGCTTGGGCCCTACTAAATATCTTTGTTGGGTAATGTGCAAACGGGCTTAAATTGCTAAAATATCATTGTCGACCAGGTGCTGTAGTGTTCTGTGATCAGAGAAGGGAATTGTTCCGTCGGTAGGGCCCACTATCACTAATGATTAGCTGGGCATTTGCCAATTGAAGGGTCCAATTTTTATTTACTAAATTTGCTAATAATGTTTGATATATACAACAGTTTGGTATCTTAAATTAATTTTTAAATAAAATTTAATGTAAAGTAATTATTAATCAATTATTGTCTATGTGGACTGTGATTTTTCCTCTAAAGTGTAATTAGTACTAATTAATTATTATTATTCAACAGTTAGGGCATAATTGATTGCAATATATTACTGGTTTTAACTGATTGGATAGATTTTTAACTCAAAATACAAATAAGATTTAATTCACTTAAACTCTACTCAATATTAATCAATATAATTAAATAATATCAATCAATCAATCTCAAAATATCACATTAACTTTAATTCACTATAACTACATATCATTTCAATAATATTTCTCTATTACTTATAAATTAATCACATCAACTTTAATCAGTTTATTTTAAATGTTATGATAATACAAACTCTTAATCACATCAACTTTAATCAGTTTATTGTAAATATTATGATAATACAAACTCAAAATCTCAGACAATTTCCCACTCAATCACCTTTATTCGAAATTAACACGCTTTAGTCAATAAATCCAATAAAAACCGGTTTTATTTATATATATATCCAATCGCGCTTTTAGTAACTGAGGTATGATGTTTACGATCATTTGAGTTCTTTTTGCTGGTATTGAGATTTGAAACTTTTATTGTTGAGATTTCGCTCTTTATGTTTGTGTTCTGATTTGACTACATTCTATATGGAATACGACTTTGTTCACTGCTTACTATAGCTACATGTACAAAGGGATAGTGAGAGTATTTAGCAAACACTCGTAGTGCTTGATTTACTTCTTTATACGGAGTAAAACTTTTTTTTTACTATCTCATGTTTAGCATGATCTTCCTCACTCGATTTTTTAATACTAACCTCTGGAATAAATTGCATCTTCTTCGTACTCTATGGTGGCAATGTTCTTGTCTCACCGGGGCTAGAAATTGGCAGTTCCAAGTTGTCGACTATCCTCACACGACCTTCCATATACTCAGAGGCGGAGCCCTATAGGGTCCAGGCCCACACTGAAAAAAAAAAAAAAAAAATCTTATATACCCTACTCAAAAAAAAGTTTAATGCTAAGTTTAATAATAATAATAGTAATAATAATAATAATAATAAAATAATGGAAACACAAAGAAGAGAAAAAAAAGGATAATGAGAAAAAAAAAACATTGTTCTTGTTTATTTTATTGAAAGTAAATCTAGTCACTTTTTTATTAGATTTGATATAAATATTAAAATTTTAAACTTATAGTTAATTGATTGTGGTTTCATAAAAGGCTATTAACATATTTAAATTTGGGTGTGACTGATAACTTGTATTGATCTTAAAAGTTTGATATATTAGATAAAACATTTTATACATTACAATTCATTTTTAGATTTTTATATAAAACTATGGAGAAATATTTTTGTAAATAGTCTTGACAAAAAAGTGCATGTGAAAATATTTTTAAAATTAGCTACTTTTATCCTAAATATACTTGAGGTGAATTATAATATTGTTAGGCCGAAAGAAAATGTAAAGACCTTATTATAGAGTCATACCAAGTTATGAAAAATCATAAGATCTTCTACGAATGTCTATTTTCTATTATACTTTATTTGATATATTATATTTGTTTTCTATAAACAACTAGGCAGACCCCCACTCATATTTCGAGCTGGATCAGCCCCTACATATACTCAATCGAATTTGGTGACTCTGTCAGTATCTCCATTTATTGCTTGTGCTTCGAGAGTCATCTACTCACTCATCATCGGAATCAAAATACCCAACAACCGTCGTCATTAATGCCATCTCAATTTATTCTTATTTTTTTTATTCTCATTCTTCTCCAATTACGGCAGACACTGGTTAAAGTTTCCATTTATCTTCGCTATTATGTGGCTTGTTCAAAATGACTGGATTATCCCCTGCTGATGTCTTTCTCGACCAAATGGGAAGATACGTGTAGGAAATATAACTATGTGTGCAATTAAAAACATTAAATGCACATCATAATTAGAATCAGTTCGACATCACATTCTTCGGCCTGCATATTTTTTTTAACAATAAATGCTATTAAATGACGACACGTGCATACGTAATATCTCTACTTCATTTGTCGTGAACTTTTTATAAGTTCCAATGAGCAGACACGTGTAGGAAACATAACCATCGTGCACCTAATACGTTAAATAAATATCTCACTCAAATCTAGTTTGAAGAAATGCTTTCAGTTAGTTCGTTAAATGATTATAGGCACGTGTATGAAACACAACCATCGTCCACCTAGTACATTATTTGAATATCTCACCCACATCTAGTTTAAAGAAATGCTTTCTGTTAGTTCGTTAAACAGTTACAGCGAGCAGACACGCGTAGGAAACATAATCATCGTACACCTAATACGTCAAATCAATTTCTCACTCAAATCTAGTTTGAAGATATGTTTTCAGTTAGTTCGTTAAACAATTATAGAAACTGTAAATCAACAACCTGAACACACACACACACACACACACACAGAGTTAAGATCAAATAAGAATGGGTGATAGAGAAAGATATAAAAATGAATCGTTGTCGTTGGATGTAATATATATCAACGCTCCAGAGCGAATAAAACTGCATATAAGTCCCTGCGTGCAACTTATCCAATTTTTAAAACGAAGCTCTAATTGAGCCCGTCGATCTCCTCTGGAGACGCCATCCCCCCTCGGAATGCAAACACCCGCCGCCACCTTATTTTCTCTTTTTTTTCCCTTAATTTTTTCCGATACTCGCAACGAACCACACAAATTAAACACTGACAATCGATCGGGTCACCACAACTCAACACCCTCGCGACACCCACACAAACCATTTTCTTTTTTAATTTAACATTTCATAATATAAGTACGCACGCCAGAATGTCCAAGACTCAGAACTAGCTAATTGCTAGCTAGGAGACACCAACTAACTTGTGTTTGGTGGTTCCATAAACCCATAATCCTCATCCAATTATCCTACTCTCACACACACACACACACACACACACACTACACCCAATACACTCACAAAAAGGTTTAGTCCCATTACATTCCGAACCTAGTGCCTAGTCCCATTGCAAAGTACATCCATATCCACCATTAGGTAAGATTATAAGGGAATATGCCCCATGCATTTAAACCTGTTGGTGCCCGATTTTTACGAGTTTCGTGCCCCTTCTTCTCCATATCTGCGCACGCTTTCTACACTCTCCCTATTATGTCTTCATCCACAACCAAAAATTGAAATAAATAAAACTAATACCAGCTGGTTTCTCCATTTACAGTCAGGCTCAATAAATTGTGCTATTGTACTGTCAACACATCTCAACATCCTTTTGTGTTCTTTTTTTCTTTTTTCTTTTTGTCTATATAAACCCATCATTGTCCATCCTTTATCTTCACCAAACACTACTCAATAATTTTTTCTTTTTTAATCTTAGAAATGGCTAGAATTCCGATTCCGTTCAATGGACGTACGGCGGCTTACGACGGCGTGCAGGATGGAGTTGGCACTGTGCATTTGTCGGCTCTCGTGAGATCTTTTCTCGAGAGGGAATGCCGGAGGACTGACGATGAAGATGATTGGGAAGGAATGTTCGGTGGAGATGGTGAGGCCAAAGAGCAGCGTGAGGCGGAGAGTTACTACGCGAATGCTCGGGACTTGTTGGAGAATGTGTTCGCTGGAGGGGAAGAGGATGAGGAGCGGAGGAGGATCCACGAGGCGGTGGAGAAGGCTGTGGCGGAGATCGGTGGGAATAGCTCCTCGCCGGACTTCAACCGCCGGCTGGTGGCTCTGCTGCGCGGCGGTGGCCTCGACGCCGGTGTGTTTTAGCTTTTAACACCTTAATTAATTAACTGCTTAATTAACAGCTCAACATTTTTAAATTTTTGGTGAGTTAATTAATCAGTAATTAATGCGAATTACTTACCTAATTTCACCCCCAATTTTTTTTTTTTTTGGTTCCAAATTTCCAATCGATCGAATCGCAGGCATCTGCAGGTCCAAGTGCGAGAAGGACGGTCGCCGGAAGTACCGGGACCACGAGTACGTCGACGTGAACGCCGACGCCGCCAGCGGCGGAGGACGCTACATCGTCGTGATATTCCTCGCCGGCGAGTTCACGATATGGCGCCCGGCGGACGGGTACTCCTCCCTGCTGGAGACTTTCCCCGCGATCTTCGTCGCGAAGCCGAACGAGCTGCGGCAGGTGGTGAAGACCATGTGCGCGGCGGTGAGGAGGTCGATGAAGAGCGCCGGAATCGACCTGCCGCCGTGGCGCCGCCTGGCGCACATGCAGTCGAAGTGGTTCGGGACGCACGGGCGGACCACCGGCAGCGAGGTCAACGGGCGGGAGCTCGGCGTGCGGAGGCCGGGAATCGCGGCGCCGGCGGAGGGGATCAGGTTCCGATGCAGGGAGGTGCTCGAGCCGACGGCCGGAGGTCGGACTGGGAACCTGTCGGCGATAATGAACCAGAAGGACGTGCTGATGTAAGCTGGGGAAGACGGTTATTGTAGTGTGCAATCCACATGACTTTGGGGACATTAATGTAATTTAGGTGCAGATTTGGCCCGGGGTGAGTAGGGAATTTTCGTAGACTTCCGGGGTTGTTTTGTAGTTTTGGGAAGGTTGCTTTTTGGATAGTTTTTGTAGGGACCACATGACATGGACTGAGTTTGAATGTGTATTTGGATGATGTATTGCTGAGTTAGTGCCCGGTGGGCCCTTTGCATTTTTGTGCTCTATTTATCTGTTTTTTTTTTTTTTGGGAAGTAAGGTTGGATTCTATTTGGCTCACTCTTACCAACGTGTGTATACCGTGGATAGGTGAGCATTACTCTTACACTAACTAACACTACCAAATAATACCTTTTTTCTCATGAAGATTTAGACCAACTGAAACACTTCGATGGAGTTGCGTATTCCTCCAAAATAGAGCAAAAATTCCGCTCCAGTCTCACACTACAATTTAACGTCATTGCATATAAATGAATTGTTGCGCCACGTCTAACGCAACACTGTAGCAATGCGCCATATTTTTTATTTTTATTTTTATTATTTTTTATGTATTTGTAATATTAATGATACTTTTTTTTTATAATGTGTATTAACAAATGTATTTTTATACTAAATAACTTTGTTCAATGTTTTTTATGCTAATAATATTAATCTTTTTATTTATTGATGTATTATATATACCAATTCACTTGAAATAAAAATAAATAAAATATATTTTAATTATTATGGTAATAAACATTTATATAAGATTAAATATACATATATATATATATCAATTTATTTGAAATAAAAAAAATGAATAAAAAATAATATATTGAATGTAGAGTAAAATGGAGATAAGGGCTAGAGACGAATGTTTAGCTCTACTCTAGAATTAAGGGCTGGAGATGATCTTAGTCACAACTCACAAGTAAATATTCTAATACGCATGTCACTCGTGAATCTTTCATAAGAAGCCCAAACCTATATACGGAGCCGGGTGCCCAAGCCCAAATGGAATGGAAAACGAGTACGTCATTGCATAGTCCCAACCGGATGGGCCGGACGCACACGGTTGCGTCTGGCCAGGCCGGGTAGACGCGACCGTGTGCGTCCTACCCGTCCGGTTGGACGCGACCGGTTGCGTCTGGCCGGTTCGGTCGGACGCGCAAAAAAAAAATTAAAAAAAAACAATTAAAAATTATTTATAAAGTAAAAAAAAATATAAAAAAATACATGGTCAATCTTCAATGTCTTGCCAATGTCAAGCTATTTTTTTGGCATTTTTCAAAATTTTTTTAACGGTCAAAAGAGCCGTAGAAAGTCGAGAAAAAAAGAATAGAGAGAGAGAGAGTACTGAAGGGCAAAAACGTCCAAGAGAGACGATGACTAGTAATAAGGGGAGCAGTAAATAGTAATGCCCAATTATAAAAAAATATTTTGCGATGGGGCAAAGAATCGGAAGGGGGCAAATTTAAAAGTTGAATAGGGGCATTTGCCTCCATAATGTTTGTGTTCTCTTGCACTTTGTTAAAGGCACGGTCGTCGTTCCGGTGGATTCGGCATGACTTGAGGAGCGTTTCCTATTCACAGAATGTTTGCATCTCTTAGTTGACGAATAACCGTTTTTTTTTTGTACCAAAAAAAAGGCACGGTCGTCTAATGATTTTTTCGAAAATAGGTACAAATTTAATTTATTGACACGAGCGAAATTATTTTATTAATATAAGTTACAAATTAAATGAAGAGCGACAATATGAAAAAAAAAAAGGAATAATTTTGCTGAAATTATTCGCATATTACAATCATGAAAATACTACAATCCTGTTACGGAATCATTACGTACGTTGGGATTTGTAACCGTTAAATTATTATGTAACCTCATGAATAGTTGATATAAGGGTCACAAATCCCCACAGAATAGTTCTGTAACGAGACCGTAGAATCTCTCGTAATACAAAAGTTCACCGTTCGAAAAAAAAAAAAAAAAACCCCTTGGTTTTCATTGATTTTGTTTAATTTCCATTCAACATGAAATTTTGTGCATGAGCTCATCATGTAGTCGGTAGAAGCCATCTATCCTACTCAACAATATCAACTAATTCATTGAAATGGTACGTGACAAATTATTAGTTTCAAGAAGGTCATTTAATGATATGTGATGTTAAAATTCAAATTTGGAACTTTGTGTACATGATTATCTGGAAAATTTGAAGTTAGGTGCTTGTAATTGAATCAAATCGAGAGGAACAATCAATTGTTAGATTTAAATTTGTGAAAATATTCAAGTATTCTTATTGATAGTATTTGATTTGATATATATATATATATATATATATATATATATGTTTAATTTGTGATTTATATTCAATTCATTTGAAACGATTGAATATATTCGGTTAGATTCAAAATTTGTTATACGAAAATCTATATAAACACATAAGTATATTAATATAATATATGAATATAAAGTATATTTAATATATTTATATATATTATCTGAATAAAACTTTACGTTTGCATAGTACTTAAAATTTTATATCACTCATATATATATTCTCGAATGCGCTGAGCCTAAGTGGCAGACTCGTGTGCTTAATAAATTTATTTGGTATAAATTGGTGGTTCGTATTGACACATGTTTATGTTTGGTTTCGACTATTATACTTGAAAATTAATTTATATATTAAAAGAAAGATGAAGATTTTTTTTACCTTAAATCTCGTCTAGAATAGGAAATTATATTAATGCTCTTAAAGATGACTATAAATAATATTTATGGCTATTTCAAATTTTTTTATTTTTGTCTTGAAAGTAAATTACCATTAATCCAAGTCAAATGACAAAACATAAAATATTGCTAAATAGGATCTCGAAACATGCTAGTCCACCACTTAGACTCAACAAGTTCAGGAATCTATAAATATATAAAAAGAATAACTTTTTTTAATAGTAGAAAGTCAAACCTTTTTAGTCAAAATATTTTAGCATTTATTACTTTCTATAAGTAGCAAGCATTATTTTCTTAATTCTAGCTTGCAAAAATAAATCCACTTGCAACATATTATATTTTAATATTTTTAAACATGTTCTATTTACAACAGAGTTTAGAAAATATTTTTCATACAAACGTAAAATTCATCAAAATAGTTTAAAAAAATTGTAGGTGACTTCACATCTTTTAATAATAACACATAAACTTTTACATACTTTTACATGTTTTCATATTTTAAATATGCGAACTTTATGTTCTCTTATACAAGTTAATTTTATATTATTGATAATAAACTGATATACGACGGTAAATTATATCACATGTTATTAACCCCACATCTTTAGTTAAAAATATTTTTTTTGCTCTTCTAAAATAGGATAACGGTTCTCCACTTCTTTCATTTGGTGACTCGAACTCGAAACCTATTTATAATTATTATTTAATATTATTTACTCGTGCATCGCACACGGGATACGCACTAGTCATATATTAGAGGGGATTAGTGTATTTATAATTTTATAATAAAAATTTCATAAATATGCCAATGAATAGAGATTTGTAAATCAAAGTGACTCAACGTTTTACAAAAAACAAAAGTAAAAATATATAAGAACTCAAACAAAATGGTTATTTTAGCCCAATTCTAGCCCAAAGTAAGACAACAATTAAAGCCCATAACAAAATTGAAGGCAAATGAATTTTCAGCTAACTTCAAGAGAGTTGCCCAAATATTCCACCTTACAAAGAGGGAGTTTTGAACTCACCCATGCACCTTAATCTAAAGGTCATATCAACATATTCTAACAACTCGTCAACGTAAAGGGCAAGCTGAAGCATTTTCTATAGTCTATAGAGATGTTAATGTGATGTTTTACCAGTGAAGACCAACTCGAGGAGACGAGGGATGTCGGTGGATGGAATTTGTCAAAGCTATGGTGAGGAGCTATAAACCAGAGAGCATGTATTTTTTCACTGCTCCAAATCACAAAATGTCTGGAAATCAGCTCATGTCAAGTGAGATATCAAGGTGGATACTGCTACCGAGTTCAGAGATTGGTGGGGGTGATATGCGTTCCATGAATAAACTGAAATTCTCGGAAAACAGAATTAAGCTGACCACGCACATACTTTGGTGGCATTGGAAGGCATGGAACCTGTGGATATTCAAGAAAGAATGGATGTCAGCTCATGCGATAGTGAGGACTGCCATGAGTGAGTGGCAAGAGTTTGCAGGGTGGTGCAGAAGAGGAGTTTAAGAGAGGAGGATGAGGAGCCTAGGTCCTGGGGGTTTCAGGTGACAGCCTTTCGTCTCGCCTTAATATGTGCATTGAGAGGTGTTAGTGTGGTTTTTTATTGTTTGTGTTGGTTGTTTTTCTTGTTAGTTTTTAGAGCACTCGTCTGGTAGTGTCTCTATCGATCCTTTGTGATTGTGGACCAGTTGGTTCCCGGAATGTATATTCGTACGTTGTGTTATATTATCATCCTCTATTATTTAAAAAACAACTCGTCAACAATAAAAATCGGGTCGTATAATAAAAAACAATAAAATTTCAAACTTTTAGGTATGTAAAATAAGAACATCACCCACAATCCTAATTCTCAATTTGTTGACTATGTGCTTCAATATGCAAAAACATTGCTCAATTTGGAAGTATAAGATCAAATTAACAAGTAAAAATTGTTGAGACTTCATTTGCAGTTTAGCATAATAATAATAACTAAAGGTGGCCTATCAATTCGAACCAAAGCGATGAACCACAGGTTCCAAACCAGGTCCATTGGGGCAAGCTCCAAAAACCGGCCCATGAACCGCTGTCTCAACCCGAAGGACCCGAAATAGAAACGAGAAAAAA